CCTTGCCCCAACCCTACACGCCCACCTCATCTATTCTCAGCACAGCAGCTACAGCAGCTAGAAGAATCCATCTAAAAATCCAAGCTAGGGCTCGTAACTCTTTGCTCAAAGTCTTCAAAGGCCCTCATTTCACTCAACCTAAAAGCCAAGTTCCCAGCAATGACTGCAGGGCTCTGCATGATCTGGCTCCACTAACACTTGGACCTCATCTCTACTCTCCTCCTTGCTCTGCCCCAGGTGCACCAACCTCCTTGCTGCATCTCAAGCCTGACAGACATGACTGTGCCTTAGGACCTTTGTTGTACTTGTTCTCTCTGCCAGGAATATTCTTCCACCAGATATCTACCTTCCCAACTCCTCACCTCCTTCAAGTCTGCTCAAATCTCACCAGACCTTCCCCAGCCACCCTTTCACTGCAGTTGAACCTTCCCACCTTCTCGATCCTGAGCTCCTTTACTGTGGTCTACTTTTTCTTTTCTTTTTAAACTGTATAACACCAACATTCTTCAAGTATATAATTCACTGTTGTATTGGTAATTTGGTGGCCTAGAATGATACCCATGTAACATCAATTGTCATTAAGGAAATGCAAATCAAAACCATGATGTGATTCTACTTTATACCCACCCGCATAGTTCTAATAAAAAGGACAGATGTAACAAGGGTTGGTGTGGATGTATCCCCACTGTACACTTCTGGTGGGAGTTTAACCAGTGAAGTCACTTTAGAAAACTGTCTGACCGGTCCTTAAAAAGTTGGACATAAAGTTACCATATGCCCCAGCAATTCCACTCCTGGGTATATACTCAAGGGAATTGAAAACATGTGACTATTCAAAAACTTCTCACAATATTCATAGCAGCTTTATGCATAATAGCTAAAAAGTAGAAACAGCCCAATGTCTGTTAACTGATGAATGGAGAAATATAATGTAGTATGCGCATACAATGGAATATTATTCAATCATAAAAAGAAATGAAGTGCTGATCCATACTACAACTTGGATGAACCTTGAAAACATGCTCAGCAAAAGAATTCAGACACCAAAAGCCATATATTGTACGATGCCATTTATGTGAAATATCCAGAATAGGCATATCCATAGAGACAGAAAGTAGATAAGTGATTGCTGGGGCTGGGGGGAATGAATTGTCCACTTTTTAAAATGCCTGTTTATTAGCTCACAGTTCTGTAGATCAGAAGTCTGGAAGGGGCTTGGCTGAGTTCTAATTTCGAGGTCACACAAGACTGAAATTGAGATGTCGGGGTGGGTGGGCATGAGGCATATTGCAAGAATCTGCTTCTAGACTCATTCACTTTGTGGGCAGATTACTGTCCTTCTGGTCATATGGCTGAGGTCCCTATTCCTCACTGGCTGGCTATCTCTCAGCACTTTAAGGCTACTTGCAATCTTTCTCATATGGCCCTCTCTTTTTCAAACCAGCAGCAGCAGCACGTTGAATCTTTCTTATGCTCCAAATCTTTCTGACTTCCCCTTCTGCAACCAGCCTAAGAGAGTTCTTTGTTGTTGGTGACTCAGGAGACTAGATTAGACTCCCTCAGATCGTCTCCCCTCTGTAAGGTCAACTGTACCATACAACATAGCACAGTCAGGGGAGTATCATATTTACTGGTTCCAGTGAGTGTGGAGTCTTGGGAGCCATTCCTAGAAATTCTGCCACTACAGCATCTGAGAATTATTTTGGGTAGACTTGCTGACAATTTGATCTCCTGGAAGGAGCAAGCATTCCCAAGCACCTGTTCCATCCACATGCTGGAGGTTCCATGAGTTACTCCTTTGTCTTCCTGGTCTCCAGGCCAGTGCTAGCACATAATGCATGCTTCAGTGAGTGCTCATTGAATGTTTGCTAAATTGTTCCTACCCTGTGAGGGTTCATTCATTGTTTACCAGGAAGGCAGACCTATACAAAAACCGGGAAGTTCAGGAGGCTAAGAGCCATAAGAGAGAAGGTGAGCACACATGGTGTGAACACATGGGAGGATGTGACATGGGGAATGGTTTCTTCTGACCAGTTAGATAAAGGCAGGTGATAGGACCCCTGAAAGAAAGTAACCAAGTCATTTTTGAGTTTGTGCTCACCATAGGGGTTATCCACACGAGATATATGCCAATCATGTCCCCATTTTTGGAAGGCAAATCTCAAAAAGTATGGAGAGGAGGTAAACAGGCTCCTATGAGCAAATGTGTTATTCAAGGATATAATAAGCTTAAAATTTAAATGCAAATGATTCCCAGAAAGAAAAGTATAGGATAAGCCAGGGGTGGGGGGGATAGTAGCCCAGGAGAACAATATAGAATTATATAAACTCTGCAGCATGTCCTCTGATGCTCACCTTCATTCTTTCAGCAAATATCTACTGAGTACTAACCGTCTACTGGAGGCCCTGTCCTAGGCACAAGAGTACAGGGAGAAGCCAGGTGGGAAATGCAGTAGGCAGACTTTACAATGGTTCCCAGTGATCTCTGCCTCCTGACATACTGTAATCACTTCCTCTGAGTATAAGTATCAGCAGTAGTGGGTTGTCACTTCCACAGTTAGGTTATAAATAGGTGTGGCTTTGTTTAGGGTGCGTGTTCTCGGTTCACTTGCTCTAAGAGAAGCCAGTTGCCATGTGGGGAGTCGTCTCATGGAGAAGTCCATATGGCAACGAGCTGATGTCTCCAGCCAAGAGCCGTGTGAATGAGCTGGACATGCATCCTCCCCTGGTCAAACCTTGAGATGACTGCAGCCCCAGCAACACTCATTGCAGCCTTGTGAGGGACTTGAGCCAGACTGAAGCTAAATTGCTCCTGGACTACTGACCCAGAGAAACTGTGCAACTACAAACCTTTATTGTTTTAAGCTTCTAAATTTAAGAAGTAATAGATAACTAACATAGGAAAGATTATAAAAGAGATTATAATACTCTCTAATAGTTACAATAAAGAACATATAGAGACTATACCCCCAAATCAGAGACAGAACAAACACCTGAAGCTGAACCAAAGAAAGAGATGGCTTCAGAAAAGGGAGCAGGAAGGGAGAGGGCCCCAGTGGAGTGAGACTTAGGGAAATACTAAAGGCAGCAAAAAAGGATTTCTTGAGTTTTGTTCAGGGCAAGAAACAGAACAAAGAAGGCTTTTTTTGGTGGGCTGAGGGTGGCAGAGAAGCAAAACTTTCCAGCTTCATCTGCAGCTACTGTCTTCAGAGGGTCCATGAGTCTCAAGCTGCTGCATTCATTTCTCAAATATAGCCAAGAATGGAATTAGGTTTGGTTGGAGTAGACTGAAGGAGGCGTAGGGGGAGATTGTCCTAGAGCTCAGAGTTCTGCCAGGTACATTCTTCTTTTTAGGCCCGAAATATCCCACTCTGAGTACTGGGAGCACATGAGGTGAAATGAAAGTTGCAGATGGCCTTTGAGATCTGGGGCATGGGGGAGGCAGATGTTGCCTTCATTTCCAGAAAGAATAAGGTGGATCCGAAGACACACAGACCAGGATGCTGATGTTGATCTGGGGAAAGGGCCTAGAACAGATTCCAAAGGGATAATGTGTGAGCTCCAGGACCCAGCCCAGAGCTCTCTAAACAACTCAGATCTACCTTTACCTGTTGTCTTGGTTTTTTTAAACAACAAAGAATGAACAATCATTATCAAGATAAAGGTAAGGCTGTGAAAATAGCATGTCCTGATTTCATCTGGGCCACTGACACAGCCTTCATAAATGGAAGAACAATACGATCAGAACGGTTTGTTACCATTTGAATAGTTATAACCAGAGATGACTGACTAAAGGAACATTATCAAGGTGTTCCCAGGAGACCCTCAGCCCCTCCTGGATACTACTACTAACAGTGAACATGTATTGTGAATTTACACAGTACTGATAACTGTTCTAAGCCCTTTCCATGGATCTTCTCATTTGATTCTCAAAATCCTATGAGATATAATCAGCTCCATTTGACAGATCAGGAACATTAGGTGCAAGAGGGTTAAGTAACTTGACAAGGCTACACATTAGAATATCAACAGAGCCAGGACAGGCATCCGGTGATCCAGACTTAATGCCTTTGCTTTATCCATGTGGCCTTATTGCCACAGAGATGGCAATACCAATATTCTCTACCTGGAGAGAAGCAACTTGGCTCAGCTTGCATGAGTATGAAGCAGGCTCAGATGTGGGGTGCGCATGCATGCAGCCCTATGTTAGCGTGTGACTGTGTGTATAGTGTGAAAGTGCGTATGCAAGATATGTGTGTACTGTGTGCTCTGAGCCAGCATGTTGCTGGGAAAAGCTGAAGGGAGAGGGGTGGGGCACTGTGCACAGTGCCCAGGGTGCTGGGAAGCAGCAAGAAGTTGGTCAGTGGGTCAGGCAGCCGGTCACCCGAGCAAAGAGGGTGACAGGTGGGCAGGGCTGTCGGGGGTGACCAGCCGGCTCCCACCTGCTAGGGCTGTCCATCAGCACTAATGCTGGCAGTGCCCGAGGCCAGGACCCCCAGCAGGCCAGCCTCAGAGACGCACACTTCTGGGAGACATGCATCCCAAGGTGGCAGAGACCCAAGTCCTGGCCCAGACCTAAGCAACCAGGTTCCACGCTGTACCCTCTTACCCACCCTATGCCAGAGGCTAAAAGCTGCCTTGGCTAGCTCAGAACCTGAGAGCTAAGGGATGGGAAGGGTTCCAGTGGGGACACATGGCCAGTGGCTGTCCTTCCATATTCATCTATCTGTACTATTCAGATGAATGGAAGTACATGACTTTGATAGTATTTTGGGATAGGAAAGGCAAGAGGGTCCTCAGAGGTCATCTAAATCACACCTCTTTATTTTTCAGATAAGTAAAACTGAGGTTCAAAGAGGCCCTGGGACCACCTGCAAAGATCCTGGGATTCATCAGAGGTCTGGTAAGAGCTAGAAGATTCAAGGGAGTCTTGCCGGGGTATGTCAGCAGGTGGAGGCTGTGAATAAGTGTGGCGGGGGGAGGAGATGAACGCTGGGGCTCCACAAATCCAGGTAGGGAGGGGGCCAAGGTCTGGCCAGCTGAGCAGGGCACAACCGGCAAATGAGAGGCATGGAGAGTGAGGGAGCTGAAGCCCAAGTCATGATCCAGTGGAGGAGCAGGCACGGAGCTGGCAGGCGGTGGCGCCAGCGCAGGACTGGGCGCCGCGGGTCCAGCGTTGGAGAGACTGGGATGGGGCTGGTGACTCCGGCCCGCCTGAGGACAGAGATGGAGGCCGGTGGGCAAAGCGGGGAGGATCTGGGGCGGGGCCTTGGGGGTGCTGGGGAGAGACGGGGGTGCCAGCACCAGGTCATCGGGAGGGGAGGGACTGGAGAGCGCTGGGCAGGGCGGGGAGATGGGAGCCGCGCTGGAGCGTGGGGAGGGGCCCGGCGGTGGGCGCGCGGCCGCCGGGAGAGGCCGGGGCCAGGCCGGGTCTGCGGTGAGGGGAGGCGCGTGGCCGGCCGCCCCCAGCTGTGGCGTCGTTCAGGCCCGGCTTAGCGGGGCCGGGGCCAGGGATTAGGGGCAGTGGCCGCACCTGGCGGGGCGGCCGCAGGGCTAATGCTGTGTGACCGCGGCGGCCCCGCCCGACAACTGGCTTCCTCCCGCCCCGGAGGGCTGTGGGCTCGTTAGCCCCGCCGGCGTGTGCGCGGGGTGCGGCTGCGGGCGGCAAGTGCATGTGTGCCCCGGGGGGGCCTGAGGCTGGCGCTGACGGCCACCGGCTGCGCCCGGCACCAGGGGGTCCTAGAAGTGAGGCTGCCCCAGGGGCCGCGGGGAGGGGCAAGACACTCGATTGCGTGCCGCCGCAAGCTCTTGTCACTGTGTGATGGTGTGGTCCCGGAGTCCGACTGGGGGTGCCTCTCTGACATGACAATCCCTGTTCTCACCCTACGTGGACCGTGTGTCACTGTCCAGGACCTTAGCCCGTATTCGGAGTATCCCTGTAACCAGACTGTCTATGGGACACGTCCGTATTCTGAATGTGTTTAGCAGTATGGGGAAGAGCTTCCACCTTCCTTGGGACCTGCTGCTCAAATTTCTTCTGCAGATACACCTTTGGCTAGCTCGGATCCTGACAGCTATGGGATGGGAAGGGTTCCAGTGGGGACGCATGGCCAGTGAATGTCCTTCCATATTCACCTGTCTGTAATATTCAGATGAATGGAAGTACCTAACCTTGCTAGTGTTTGGGGATAGGAAAGGCAAGAGGGCCCTCAGAGGTCATCTAAATCACACCTCTTTATTTTTCAGATAAGTAAACCGAGGTTCAAAGAGGTCCTGGAACCACCTGCAACGATCCTGGGATTCATCAGGGGTCTGGTAAGACTGCAAGCTCCTTCCCAGCCGGAGTGTCTCAGCTGTCCATCCCACAGGGCCCCAGGCCTCTGGTGCTGAGATGGAGACCATGCAAAAGTTCTGGCACCTGGATTCCTGCCCTCCTCAAACTCAGGCCTGCCCCCCTAAGCCCCTCTTCATCCAAGACCTACCTAAGGGCCACCAGCCATGCTCTAACCTGCCCTCTTTCCTACCAAAATAATTACATCTGAACAAAACTTGTGTTAGAACTGAGAGGTTTTATGGAACCTCGTAGGTGAGCCTCCAGGCCTTTGCACCTGCTGTTCCTCTGCCTGAAAGGACACTCACTTCCCTTTTCCTAGAGCCGAGGAGCCACCTCCACTGGGATGCCTTCCCTGCTGCAACCCACTCCACACCACCATTCCTTTTCCTTGCAGAACCTTGGATCACACCTGACTCTGGCTATTCCGATGTCATCTCCATCTCCTGGAGACAGTTGCTGCATGAGAACAAAGGCAGGGCCCAGACCAGGTCTGGAGGGATAAGTGACAGGGATATGGGCACTGAGCTGAGGCACTGGGCAGGCAGAGCCACTGCCCTTACCCCTACCATGAACCCCTAGAGAGAGGCTGCTAGAACCTTCATTTCTAAGGAGCAAGAGAGTGTGGCTACCCTGCCTCTAATTATTCCTCCATAGGCACACAGGCCTTCTCTCCACCCAGGGAGCACACATCTGCCAAGAGCAGCCCTGCCCCCACACCAGGCTCTCCAGCAGTGAGGAGCTGGGCTGGGCTGTCCTCACCCGCCCTCCTGGTTCTTCCCTGGCCCTGCCTTGGGATGCCAGGACCCACAGCAGGTGCCTGGAAAGGCTTGGGGATGAAGAGGGGCCTGGGCACAAAAGGCCACCCTCTGGCCAAGAGCAGAACTTAAAGAAACAAATTCCAGAATCCTCTTCGTCCTCCTTTTCCCCACCCACTCTTTAGTTCTGTTAATAATAACAGCTACCATTTACCAGGCACCTAATGTCTTTCTTTGCACAGTATTTGATACTGTATGTGCATTGTTTGTTTAATCCTAAATCAATCCTGACGCATAGGTATTACCCTCCTCATCTTTCTGATGAGGAAATAGAAATTCAGAGAGGCTATATCCCTTGTCCAAAGTCAGTGTTGGACTGGTCAGTGGCAGAGCCAAGATTCACACCCCACATCTTTCCATGCCCTTGTCCTCCAATGCTGACCCCAGGTGCTGCTCTCCTCGCCCTAGGTGGTGACTCTCTGCTATACGTCTGCCTCCCACATTAGCTTGAGAGCTGTGGGATAGCAAGGGCTGTCCCGTCCTCTCAGTGGCCCCAGTGAAGGAATGAAGGAATGCTTGTAGAATATTACCTTGGCTGTTAGAGGGCACAGCATGGTAGTTACACACATGGGCTCAGGAGCCCAAGTGCTGGGGTTCAAATCTCAGCTCTTACTTCCTTTATGACCTTGAGACACTAGTATTTCTGTCTCAATTTTCTCATCTGTAAAATGGACATGATAGTGAATGCTGGTATTGAGGAGACTGAGTTAGGAAAAGTTCCTGTCCTATAGTAAGTACTGCCTGTGTTAGATAAGATGCAGTGTCTCCCTCCAGACTAGAAGGGGCCCGGTCCCACTCTCTGCTTGCATCCCCAGCACTTAGCACAGGGTTTGCCTGGAGTAGGTCCTTCCCTTCCTCATCTATAAAATATTACTAAAAATACCCACCTGGCAAGATTAAGGAGATGTATGTAAACTTCCTGGCACAGGGCAGAAGTTGGCATCAGTAGTAGCACCAGTGGAGGGTGGGCTATTGGTAGGATAATGGGGAGGGAGGGGGAAGGTGGGGTAGAGCCAGGTTAGGCTCTTCTGAATGCCCCATTTTTGGATCCAGAGGCAGAGTCTTCACCCAGTGTCCTCCTCTTGCCCATGTACCATTCAGGCCCTGGTACAGAGGACACATAGGACCTTACTCAGATGGTGGCCTCTCCACCATGTGGAGAAATCCCCATGCCAGAGGGTACCCTGGGGCTAAAGTGCCTCCTCTTCGCCTCTTCTAGACCTTTCCCCAAGGGACTGGCAGCTTTGTGTTTTGAGTATGGAGCCAGCTGGACAGGGAGGCACCCAGGAGATCATCCCAAGCCAAACTTATTTAGGAGTGGAATCCTGTCTTCAGATAAATTCTTAGGTGAAACCCTGATATGTAAAGCAGACAGAGGCATTATTTTGTGCCATAAATTAATTTATAAGTTCATGTAGATAACTGTTATTTCTTTATTTTTTTTTTTTTTTGAGACTGAGTCTTGCTCTGTCACTCAGGCTGGAGTATGGTGGTGTGACCTTGGCTCACTGCAGCGTCCGCCTCCTGGGTTCAAGCAATTCCTCTGCCTCAGCCTCCAGAGTAGCTGGGATTACAGGTGCACGCCACCACACCCAGCTAATTTTTGTATTATTACTAGAGACGGGGTTTTACCATGTTAGCCAGGCTGGTCTCAAACTCCTGACTTCAGGTGATCTGCCCACCTCAGCCTCCCAAAATGTTGGGATTACAAGTGTGAACCACTGTGCCCAGTCATAATAGCTGTTATTTCTTATAATACAAAAGAGCCTGGCACATAGCAGGCATTCAAGAAATAATTGTTGAATGAATGGATAGTCCATCAGTGGAGGAAAAAAAACGAGGCTATTTCGATGAATACAAATCTGTGAAATAGGGGGTAATTATGTATGATGGTTGGTGGATACTTCTGGCCTAAAATCTAATCCAACATTTGTGAAATCCTTATAGCACTTCTGAATGGCCCAGGACTCCAGAAAACACAGGTTGAAAATGACAAGTTCTCCTTTTGGTGGGTGAGGACACTAAGGTCAGAAGGTCAGAGGAAGATTCAGGCTAGAAGCCAGGCCTCCCGATTCCCCCTCCAAGGGCTCAGGCCCTCCTCAGCCCCTTGATACGTTGCATTCTAGGGCCCTGGGCTGGAGTTATTCCTGTCCCTTTCACCCTGGCTAGGACAGCTTGTGTGCCGGGGGCCGCCATCCTGCTCAGGCATTTCCCACCAGCCTCTGCCTTAAGCTTAGGCCAGGCAGGAGCCAGGTTCCTCCCACTGACTTCAAGATGGGCTCTCTTCCTAGTGTCTATTATCTGAGCAAGCAAGGCCCATGGCCCAAGACCCTCTTGGAACCAGAAGGCCCCAAGTGGCAGACATTCCGAGTGAGTGCCAGATTAGTAGAACCTACTAGATGGGTGAGGAGCAGGGGAAATGAGTACAGTCATTGATGATCTGCCCAGGGGGAACACCCAGGAATGCCCCAGAACATGGGCCCCACAGCAGTTGGGGGCATTTGTGGGCCTTCCTATAAACTTCTGAGAGGGTAACTTTATCCTGCTTCTTTCGGCCAAGTATCCTCCTCCAGCAGCTGGTCACAAAGCTGGTTAATCTCCCAGAGTGCTCAGCTTAAAACCCGTGACTCACAGCACAGCCAGTGTAGGGGAGGGGGTGACTGCCTCCAATACGTGGCGCCCAGAGTCAGCTGTTCTGGGGCCTTCTCTGGTTTCTCCAACTCAGTCCTGAGGTTTGGGGCCTTGTCTTCCTTCCTGGAGTCCTGCTTCTCACTGACCCCTACATACAAGCCACGAGAGGTCAGGGCCCTGGGAAGAGGGCCAGTTCCAGGCCTTGGCTTTGGCCAAGCCTTCAGGCTATCCCAGAAATGACCAGCAGGCATTGGCCTTCTGGGGAAGGGGGAGGTTTCACATGTAACTCTGGGAGGGATTGGCCCTGAAATTGGGGTCCCTGCCTCATCTGCCCAGACCTGGAAAAAATCCCCTTTGGCCATGACCCTCTCATGGTGGATCTTCATTCCCCATCAGCATGTGGCATGAAGCCTGTGTAGGGTGGCTGAAATGAGCTAGCAAAAAGGAACACAAATGACAAGGGACCTCTGACTTGAGATCAGTGGAATAAACACAAGCTGTGACATGGAGAAAAGGTGGAGTAGAGTGTTGGCTTTGGAGACACATGAGTTCCAGTCTCAACGGTCCCAAAGCTGCCAGCTACTAGCTGAATAGCTTCCCTGAGCCTCCGTTTCCTCATCTGTAAAAGTGGGATAGTAATAGTACTTACCTTGGTGAGCTAATGTGAGAATCAGATGAGATTCTGTTTTCCTGCTTAGTAGGTGGGAGCTATCAATATGATTATTCTTATTGTCATGATCATATTGCTCAAAAAGCAGGAGAATCCATTTTCACTTGTTAGGGGACTTACGTTTGTATAATGGGAGGGAAGCTAATGTCTCAAAGCATTTCAGTGACTCTTCTCATTTGGCAGGAAATCTATTCTAATGAATGTGACTCTGTAAATGATAAGGGAGTATCTGCCAGCCAGCGGCATCTTGCTTGTTATGGCTGAAGATCTAACCCAAGAAACAGCTGTAACAGATACATGACAAAGGCTCCCACTGGTACCTCTACTGAGCAAAGCACAAATCATGAGGTAACCCTTGCTCCTGTGGTGCCAGTGATTCTTAATACCTTCTACTCCAACTGAAGAGTCCCATACGTATCCAAAGACTCCTGTAGGTAAGGAGGAATGAACCACTTTATAAGTTCCTGTTATGGGCCAGGTACTATATTAAACACACATATTTGACCATGTCTAACTCTTGCAGCACCCATCGGGGTGGGTGTACTATTTCCTCCATGTGGTGGACTAATTAACGAACCCAGTTCTTCACTCCTCCTTGTATCCACACCCTTTGCCTGGTGACCCTTTACAGCTCTTCATATCAGGAGGCATACTGTATATTTCTCCACGTCTCAGTTCTGAGCTCAGCCATGCAACTTGTTTTGACCCAGGAGGAATTAACATATGTGAATCAGGCAGAGGTTTAGGAAATATGATTATGTTTCTGTTTGCACTTTTGTACCACTACCATTACCATGAAAACATGCCTACGCTAGCCTGCTGGAAGTGAGGCTTGTGGAGAACAGCTGAGTCGCCCAGTTGCCCAGCCAAGACCAGCTAGATCAGCCAAGGCCAGTCAAGTGCAGCATGTGAGTGAGCCCAGCAGAGCCCAGGAAAACAGCCCAATCCAATAGCCAACCTGCAGACTCAGAAACTGAAGTCACTATATTTTGGAGAGTGGTTCATTACACAGAATTATCATGGTAATAGATAAGAGATACATGCCATTAAAAAAAAAATAGACTCCTTTCCTGGATTCCATCTTTTCTTTCTCTTAGTGTGAGAGTTAGCTGTTTCTTTCTCTCTCCTTCTCCTGTTTCTCTCTCTCTCTCTCTCTCTAAATAAATCACTATCAACAAACAAAAAAAATAGACTTTATTTTTCAGAGCAGTTTGAGGTTCACAGTAAAATGGAGCAGAAAGCAAGAGAGTTCTCATATACCCCCTTCACCTATACATACACAGCCTCCCCCACTGTAAACATCCTGCACCAGAGTGGGGCATTTGTTAAAATCAACAAACCAACATTGATGAAACTACATATCATCACCCAGAGTGCACAGTTTATATTAGGGTTTACTCTTCGTGTTGTATATTCTATGGGCTTTGACAAGTAGATAATGACATGTATCCACCATTACAACATCATGCAAAATAGTTTTGCTGCCCAAAAAATTATCTGCACTCTGCTTATTCAAACCTCCATCCCCTCAACCCCTAGTAGTCACTGATCTTTTTTACTGTTTCCATAGTTCAGCCTTTTCCTATAGTTGGACTATGGGAATGTCCTATAGTTGGACTCATGCAGTTTGTGATCTTCATCTTCATTTAGGACAAAAGAGAGGGAGATAAAAGGAGGGACAGCATGGCAAACCCTTTCACCTCTTCCTCTCTTACTTGGGCAGAGGCTATAAAATCGTGGCTATAAGTATTCTAGAAGTTTGTGTGTGTGAGACCCAGGCTTAAATATTGGGAATTCACAGAGGCTGATGGGTGTTAGACTTTTCCAGCATTCGGTAGGTGGGTCTGATTGTTGAGGTTTGGAGTTTTGGACAGGTGAGACCTAACAGTAGCTGCTGGGTTTGTTTGGTTGCTTATTTATTTATTTATTTGCGAGAGAGAGAGAGAGTCTTACTCTGTTACCCAGGCTGGAGTGCAGTAGCACTGTCACAGATCACTGCAGCCTCAACCTCCCAGGCTCAACCAGGCTCAAGCCATTCTCCCACTTCAGCCTCCCAAGTAGCTGAGACTACAGGTGCTTACTACCACGCCCAGCTAATATTTTTACTTTTAGTAAAGATGGGGTTTCATGATGTTGCCAGTCTGGCAAACTGAAGACCCAGGCTTGAGACCAGGCTAGTCTCAAACTCAAGCTGGATCACCTCAAAAAATCCTCCTGTCTTGGCCTCCCGAAATGCTGGGATTCCAGGTCTGAGCCACCATACCCAACCAGTAGCTGCTGAGTGAGTACTCACTATATTCCTAGCTCTGTGCTTTGGATACACTTTTCCTGCATTCTCCTACTTCATATCCACAACAGCATTTTTTTTTTTTTTTGACAGAGGGTCTTGCTCTGTCACCCCAGGTTAGAGGGTAGTGGTATGATCACAGCTCACCGTAGCCTCAGCCTCCTGGGCCCAAGTGATCCTCCCACCTCTCAGCCTCCCAAGTGGCTAGGACTACAGGCCAGCTAATTTTTTAAAATAATTTTTGTACAGGCCGGGTTTCACCATGTTGCTCAGGCTGGTCTCAAACTCCTGGGCTCAAGGGATGCACTAGTCTCGGCCTAGCAAAGTACTAGGATTATAGGCATAAGCTACCACTCCT